TGGAACCAAGATATTTTTACATTAATATAAAAAGTAAGGCTATGAACAATGGAACTGAGATATTTTTATGTTAACATTTCTACCCTTTTCAGTAATAGCCAACATGACGAAGGTCTTGAAAGTTTAGAAACTGGACTTAGTTTAGCTAATCCATCCAAATATCAAAGTCACTTATTTAGCCAGACTTTTTAGAGGCTTGAATAACTTTGAGCATGACATTCAGGCTAATGATGCTGCTCCTAATTTTGCTAAATATTTATGGGATATATTAGATGACAAATCTTAGAAAAAAATACTTATAAAAACCACATATCAGGCAGTATAACAGTGATGAAAACCACATATCTGGCAGTATAACAGTGATGAAAACCACATATCTGGCAGTATAATGGTGATGAAAACCACATACCTGACAGTACAACGGTGATGAAAACCACATACCTGACAGTACAACGGTAATGAAAACCACATACCTGACAGTACAACGGTGATGAAAACCACATATCTGGCCAGTACAACGGTGATAAAAACCACATATCTGACAGTATAACGGTGATAAAAACCACATATCTGACAGTATAACGATGATAAAAACCACATATCTGGCAGTATAACGGTGATGAAAACCACATATCTGGCAGTATAACGGTGATGAAAACCACATATCTGGCCAGTATAACGGTGATAAAAACCACATACCTGACAGTATAACGGTGATAAAAACCACATACCTGACAGTATAACGGTGATAAAACAGTATAACGGTGATGAAAACCACATATCTGGCAGTATAACGGTGATAAAAACCACATATCTGGCAGTATAACGGTGATAAAACCACATATCTGGCAGTATAATGGTGATAAAAACCACATATCTGGCAGTATAACGGTGATAAAAACCACATATCTGGCAGTATAACGGTGATGAAAACCTCATATCTGGCCAGTATAATGGTGAAGAAGTCTTCTTTACACGGATTACCAATATTGAATTTCTCCAAAATTTCTTTTCACATCCTAACTCTTTTCACAAAATTATTAGGCCCAACATGTCCAGGTGGTTAGGGCGTTCGACTCACAATCTGCAGGTCTCCGGTTCAAATCCCCGTCCCACAAAACATGCTCGCTCTTTCAGCTGTGGGTATGTTATTATGTGACGCTCAATCCCACTATTCATTGGTAAAAGAGTAGCCGAAAAGTTGGTGGTGGGTGGTGTTGACTAGCTACCTTCCCTCTAGTCTTTCACTGCTAAATTAGGGACGGCTAGTACAGATAGCCCTCGTGTAGCTTTGCGCGAAATTCAAAACCAAACCAAAAGTATTACGTATACTCTTAACCAACCTACCGTTCCTTACATACCCATTGTCACAATATCTCCATAGAAAACAGTCTTCAACAAAGAGAACAAAATGTTTCGATTACCAAAGTAGCCATTCCACCCACACTATTACTTATAATTGATTCCTGACCTTCAAGAAATTTTCTACAGATAAAACAAATTACTACAAAAACATATAGAACTGGTAAGACAGTCCATGAGAGTAGAAGGCTATAAAGACACTAGGATAAGAGACTGAAAATGCCAGCACCACTAAAATGAGCTGTCTTCAATCTGACACTAAAGTTATTAACAATTTCCTCTTCCAGTAACATAAAATATAACCTTCCTATTTTCTTCAACTTAATGATGTTAAAAATAAATTTCTTCCAAAACTGCTGGTTTCATTCCAGAAAAACAGATAATCTGGGACATGCTGAAGTTAACTGCACAAACCAGCATGCTCGTGAAAACACAACCAACTTTTGTGATAAGTGAAACCAAAACCATTATAATATGAAATAAGAGATCAGTTGCACTAAAATAAATAAATTCTATCTCAGACACTGTAATAATTTGGTGCATTGGAAAAACTCAAATGACCGTTAGAGGACACTGTAAAAATGACAAGTCTTCTAATGACTTAAAAAAATAGACCCTTCTAGTCTTAAAACTCTACAAACACTCATTCACTCACCTGATAACGACCTCCTGTCATTTCCTGGGTATTTCTCACCCAGGTTATGACAGGTTGGGGGGCACCAAACGCTCGACATCGCAGAGTGACGGTTGAAGTCACAACAGCTCTCGATTCTGCTTCTGGAGCCTCGATAATCGTTGGGGGCAAAGCTACAAATAACATAACAAATCAAACTGGTCTAAGTATTATAATTTTGGCAAGTGGAACAAGACAAAAGTAACATATGGTTTATAACCTACACAGGTATAACTAGTTACATTAGAATTAAGGCAAATGGGACAAGGCAAAACTAAAATGCTTTTAAACTACGTGTATGTCTAATCATGTTATAACTAAGGCCAGTGGAACAAGGCAAAATTAACATGCTTTTAAACTACACAAGTGAAACTAATTATTTTATACTTAAGACAAGTGGAACAAGGCAGAATTAACACAGTTTATAAACTACACAAATATAACTAATTATGTTATAACTAAAACAAAAGGAACAAGGCAGAATTAACACGGTTTATAAACTACACAAATATAACTAATTATGTTATAACTAAAACAAAAGGAACAAGGCAGAATTAACACGGTTTATAAACTACACAAATATAACTACTTATGTTATAACTAAAACAAAAGGAACAAGGCAGAATTAACACGGTTTATAAACTACACAATTATAAAAATGCAGTATAGTGTTCAAAGGCTTAGCACATGTTTGGAAAGAAAGGCAGTATTAATACAGTTTATAAATTCAACATACGTTGAACAAAACAGCATGCTAAGTAACACAACACATGCATTAAAAAAAGACTTAACCCTTCATGTGTTTCTTACTTGAATGTTTAGATATTTGTAATTTGTATACTTTCACAAACCCTACATAAGTAATATAAGATGAAACAATACTTCAAGAAACTGAAATTAAGGACAATTTGAACGTGAAAAAATTATCATTCATTACTGTCAGTAACCATGGTGTAATAATGTTAAACACTACTCATGATGTAATAATGTTAAACCTAACATAACCACTGAGTACAACCACTAAACATGGTGTAATAATGTTAAACCTAACATAACCACTGAGTACAACCACTAAACATGGTGTATTAATGTTAAACCTAATATAATCACTGAGTACAAACACTACTCATGATGTAATAATGTTAAACCTAACATAACCACTGAGTACAAACACTATTCATGGTGTAATAATGTTAAACCTAACATAACCACTGAGTACAAACACTAAACATGGTGTAATAATGTTAAACCTAACATAACCACTGAGTACAAACACTACTCATGATGTAATAATGTTAAACCTAACATAACCACTGAGTACAAACACTACTCATGATGTAATAATGTTAAACCTAACATAACCACTGAGTATAAACACTACTCATGATGTAATAATGTTAAACCTAACATAACCATTGAGTACAAACACTAAACATGGTGTATTAATGTTAAACCTAACATAACCACTCAGTACAAACACTAAACATGGTGTAATAATGTTAAACCTAACATAACCACTGAGTACAAACACTACTCATGATGTAATAATGATAAACCTAACATAACCACTGAGTACAACCACTAAACATGGCGTATTAATGTTAAGCCTAAATTACTTAGCGAGTTTAAATATTTTCTTATAACCTATCCAAGGAGTGTGGATGCTTCCCTTTTGTTTTTCTTACACGATTAACCCTTTATGTGCATACCATTATAACATCTTAATTTTATGAAGTTACTTTAGAAATTTAATCAAACTACTTTATTTTCAATATATGTCAATAATTAGCATCAGTGTGTAGTTCATAATTCAAATTTTTGTATTATCTAAGTTTAGTTTCTTAATATCAAAAGAAAATATTAAAAATAATCTTCAATTCTCTGTATCATGTAGCACATCTGTATACTGAGTAATACTCTTCTTCAATAACAATGTACCTACACTATCTGAGTTTATAGACACAATTTATAAATAATTTCAAGATACAATGTGCAGTTTCAAAGTCCTAACTTCTCCATTTAATGAGATATCAATAAATTTCCCAACCTATAACAAAATCTTCACTCATTTAATCTTAACTTTTAAGGCAGTTTTCAAAACTAGATCAAGTTATTTGACGTAACCAACAGAAAGAGCTTATTTTCAATTTTAAGCTTTTTAAACTGGAGGCCAAAGATGTTAAGACTACTGTTTTGTGGTGTGTTGATGAGCAAGGTTGACACTCATAGCATACAACGATCTTTTAAACAACAGCTAACTTAGTTAGAATGATAGTTAAATTATAATTGTTTTTGGATATTACTTTATAGAATTATGTAATATTTTTGTTTTAAAATACATATTTGAAAGGTGCAGAATTTTATTTAAAAAAGTTAGAGAAAATTTTAACAAGGCTTATCCCAAAAGGCAAAGATTGCAGAACTACTGTGTTGTGCTGCTGTACATCATATAAACCAGGCAATAAAACTATAAAATTACACACAAAAATAAATAAACAGTTGAAATTGTGAAAAATATCAACAGAAGATGTGGCAAAAAATTATATATTGAAAGAGCAAGAAATATATGTTCATTTTATTATTTCATTTTTGTTTGTTTGTTTGGAATTAAGCACAAAGCTACACAATGGGCTATCTGTGCTCTGCCCGCCATGGGTATCGTAACCCGGTTTCTGGCGTTGTAAGTCCGCAGACATACCATAATTTTCACATTTTACGTTAATGATTCAGCCACAGTTAGTGTTAGGTAGATAAAATAGAACCTTTCCTTAAAAAATATTTTGATATAAATTTAGAAGACTCTAGAGCAGGGATGGTCACCTTCTTTATGCTCATGGGCCAGTTTCTTATATATAATGTAGGCTGGGGACCAAAACTACAGAGACATCTTAAAAATAAATAGACACCATCATGTTTATTCAATAGTCGTTTAATTAAGAAAGACATCCAACGGCTCCCACGGCCAAGTCAGTCACCTGATATGAACCCCCTCAAGCATGTCTGGCCATACTTGCTCGAGCAGTGAGAAGTTCCAGAAAACCAGCGTCTCGTGGAGAGCTACCCGGTGTTTTACATGCAGCCTGGGTCTAGATCCTACAGGAGAAAATTGCAGAACTCATCGATTCCATGCCAGAACGAGTCAAAGCACTGAAAAATGGTAGTGGCAAATCGACAAAGTACCAATGCACATTTGTAAACATTTTTGTCAAGTTTATAATGTGAGATAAATGACTATTGAAAAAAAATCATGGTGTCTATTTACTTTTGAGATGTCTCTGTATATGGCAGGGTCAAGTACATTCAAATTACCTACTTCCAAGAATACGCAAGTTATACAGACCCTCGTTAATTATATGATTTTCAATAAATATCTCAGGACTGTAAGGGGACTGCTTTGCTTAGTCATCATTTCATTTTTCTGTTTTTCATTTCACCAAAATAAAATATGATTTAAAAAAAAGGGAAGGCAGATAAAAAACTTTGCAGGTCAGATCCAATGAGCCAGTTGACCATCAGTGCCCTAGATGTTATACAAATGAAATATGAAAACCGTAAGATGAAAAGAAGCATTTTTATTCTTAGCAAGAAAATCACCTTGTGCCCAGGGTGACTCAGTAAAGGTTTTAGAAATTCATAGACAAATTTACAATAACCGCTAGATTAAAAATTCTGATTTTTTGGCGGCACAACAGACGTTTCACACTAACTAAAGCTTTCCAAACTTGGAGAAAATATAGTCAGTAAATTCAGAGTTCTGATATGTAAATAACATCACGGTTTTCAAGGTCAGTTAAAATGATATTAGGATAAGCATAACCTATCCAGCGAATAAGAACACTTCACCTTTTAGTAATTAGGTTAAATAATAACCTACCAAGGATTATAATGACTATTCGGGGTGTACTTACCCAGAACATTCAAGTAAAAATCTGCAAACGCATATCCATGGACATTTGAAGCATTACACTGGTAAACCGCAGTATCAGATTTAGCTAAGTTTTCAATCTTCATCACATTTCCTTCAACCTTTCTCTTGGGATTCTCTTTGGCTTCTGTCAGAAATAAAGTTATAATTACGCACAAAATGTCAATTCAAGTTCATACATTTGAGAATTTATACAGATAACTGAAAAATATTTGGTGTTTATCACATTAATTGATAAGACAGATGGTAATGAACAAATTTTAAAATTTATTGATTTTACTCGCAAGTAAATCAAAACTTTTTTAATAATAGATAAGAATCAGAGTAACTTGAGTTCAGAAAAGTTTCAAGCCAGACCCAAAACGTTTATGATAATAAATAGACTTCACTCACCTACTATAAAATGACTGATATATTAAAATTTATCGACAAAATCAATATTTTTCTCTGGTATTTACAACTTGTATCTGTATCGTAGCTCTTCTGACAGTCTTGTAATATATGTGTCCATGTCAAAAACGGATTTCCTTTAATGTATGCTTGATTAGATTTCCTCTGATATGCGGCCCGGCATGGCCAGGTGGTTAGGGTGCTCGACTATGCAATCTGAGGGTCGCAGGTTCGAATCCCCATCCCACTAAACATGCTTGCCCTATCAGCCGTGGGGTCATTATAACGTGACAGTCAATCCCACTATTCGTTGGTAAAAGAGTAGCCCAAGAGTTGGTGGTGGGTGGTGATGACTAGCTGCCTTCCCTCTAGTCTTTCACTGCTAAATTAAAGACAGCTAGCGCAGATAGCCCTCGTGTAGCTTTGCGTGTACGAAATTCAAAACAAACCAAACCAAACCTCTGACTCCCTTGATATACAGTTGATAAGTGTTACCATAAAGAATATTTTCTCTGCCATGCTCACTATCCTGATGAATAGTTCATTACAGTAGGTTACCATCACGTTATTTCCTGTACCATGCCTCACTATCCTGATGAATAGTTCATTACAGTAGATTACCATCACATTATTTCCTCTACCATGCCTCACTATCCTGACAAATAGTTCATTACAGTAGGTTACCATCATGTTATTTCCTCTACCATGCCTCACTATCCTGATGAATAGTTCATTACAGTAGGTTACCATCACGTTATTTCCTCTACCATGCCTCACTATCCTGATGAATAGTTCATTACAGTAGGTTACCATCACGTTATTTCCTCTACCATGTCTCACTCTCTTGATGAACAGTTGGTTCACCATCAGGCAGCCAAAGTAATCTGTGATTTACTTAAGAATTCAGCTTTCTGAAATACAATTATTCACTAAAATTTGGTAAATAATTTCTTGAAACTTAAAGAGTGGTTAACAGATTAAGAACGTTTTTAGTATGTACAAATTACAATAATGACTTGTACACAGTGGCATACTGCTGCAGATAAAACCATGATGTCACAGGAAATGTGTATCTCGTATATTTGTTCACAATAAAATTCCAACCAATCAATAAAGCAATACCAATGGCTGGAAGAAGTACGTGAAATCTTTTTTCTGGAGAAAGGTATTTATGTAGAGATAGTGTTCAGCAATGAACATAACATTTAAAAAAATGGAGTCTTTGGTGTTCGCAGCAGTGAATTTTTGACGGCAACAGGCTTCAAGACCACATCCCAAGCCAATCTTGGGCAACATCTTTATTAAAAACTAAAAATAAAACCACATCTCTGGCCATTCTGGAGCAAAGCTCTTAACCACAAAGTAACATAAAACCACAACCCAGGCCAATCTGGAGCAAACCCCTTATCCATAAAGTAACACAAAACCCCAGGCCAATCTGGAGCAAAGCTCTTAACCACAAAGTAACATAAAACCACAACCCAGGCCAATCTGGAGCAAACCCCTTATCCACAAAGTAACATAAAAACCACAACCCAGGCCAATCTGGAGAAATCTCTTATCCACAAAGTAACAGCTATAGCTATAAAACAGCCATTGCAATGAAACTGTACGTTTCATCATACTGTTAACAAATTAATTTCAAGTCGATAAAGGCTCGAAAGCCAAAACTCTACAAGCATCCAGCGATTCTCATAACATCTGGACGTTTCTATGAAAACAGTAAGCAAGATGAGTGGAATCCCATTTGGCAACATACCTCTGGAGTCCCTGAACTAGGTTTAATAGACTTTTGTGCCTCGGTTCTGCTTAAATGTGGTTTTAGAAGCCGACATCTATATTAAGTGGAGGGTTTTTGGAAAGTCTGTTAAAATATGAGGTATAAAATTGACCTCACTCTACTTTGCGGAAGATGGTTACATGTGTAGTCATGTCCATTGGCCCAAACCCAATCACTGGTTTTGTTTGTTTGTTTTGAATTTCGCGCAAAGCTACACGAGGGCTATCTGCGCTAGCCATCCCTAATTTAGCAGTGTAAGACTAGAGGGAAGGCAGCTAGTCATCACCACCCACCGCCAACTCTTGGGCTACTCTTTTACCAATGAATAGTGGGATTGACCGTCACATTATAACGCCCCCATGGCTGAAAGGGCGAGCATGTTTGGTGGGACGGGGATGCGAGTCGAGCGTCCTAACCACCTGGACATGCCGGGCAACAATCACTGGTGGAGAAATAATATTTCAAGAGCAGCGTGGGACCTTTTAATATCTTTCTTTAAAAAATGTGCTCAACCATTAATATTTACTTTTCAGCTTCTTCCATTTCTCATTGGTCATTTTAAAATTGCATACATTAGTACAAATAATATTAAAAAAATTTATATGGAAATTATAATATAAACAAAATAATTTTTTTTTACAGATACTTGTAAATGTTTACATCTCTGCACATAAACTTGTAATTAAAAAATCGTTAGGTAAACCATACTAAATTAAATAAAATAGGTTCTTGTCCTCCAAACCCTCACTTTTAAAAGAAGATATCAAACCTTGAGATTCGCCATTCATTGACTCTATTTAACTTTTCAATATCCTGTTTAATTATGTATCACATAATATAGTATCAGAAATGTAATACCTTTTAATGGTACACCATTGACAAACCACTGCAGGTTGGGCTCAGGAATGCCACTAGCTTTACACTCAAACTTTACAGATTCTTCTTCAGCAGCACTTGTGTCATTTGGTGCTGTGATCCAAAATGGAGCAGCTACATAGAAACACACAAAACAAGGTGTATATAATCACTGTGATCCTAAATGGAGCAGCTACATTGAAACAGAAAAAACAAGGTGTATATAATCACTGTGATCCAAAATGGAGCAGCTACATAGAAACACAAAAAACAAGGTGTATATAATCACTGTGATCCTAAATGGAGCAGCTACATTGAAACAGAAAAAACAAGGTGTATATAATCACTGTGATCCAAAATGGAGCAGCTACATAGAAACACAAAAAACAAGGTGTATATAATCACTGTGATCCAAAATGGAGGAGCTACATAGAAACACAAAAAACAAGGTGTATATAATCACTGTGATCCAAAATGGAGGAGCTACATAGAAACACAAAAAACACAGGTGTATATAATCACTGTTTATTGGTTGTTTAGTTGTGATCCAGAAAAGAAAGGATACACAGAAAGACACAATACAGTGTATATAATAGTTTATTTGTGAGATAGCAAATTTTACTTTTATTCTGTTATGATTTTATTTACCATTCCTTCTATCATTTAGTTCGACTATGAATTTTTATTTAGATTAAAGCACTAACTCACCTTCTAGCTACAGCATGTTGAAGTTGATTATTTTTGTGTTATATTCAATCGACACAAGCTTCTCCTGGCAGTGATGAACAGATACTAATGTTGTGAAAGATAATGTAAATTTATGGTAATAGCTAGTTACATGAGATGTAATCTCATGGTCTACCCACTAAATAAATGCTTTCATTGATCTTGAAAACTGGGTTAATGAGTTATGCTCTAGTGAATTAAGTTTTTCTTTTTTTTCCTAGTTCCTTTGATATTTGTTGAGATTAATAACATTGAGATTTATGTTATATTGTTTATTAATGTCTGTACCAAGTCCTGGCCAGACACAAGTTTACTAATTGTAATACAGAATGTAGTGTATATAAGCAGTGTGTAATGGCTACACAGCTGTGATCCAACCAGAAACTATACAGTAATTTGTTTTAAGCTTCTTCTGAGCGATTAACTTATTTTAGCAAAAACACATCAATACAAATACAGTATTTTAAAAGTATACCATTTTAAGAGTTTAAAAAAGTGAAATTTCAAAACGATAATTGATTTTTGAATATATTGTAAAACTATAACGATCTAACAAACCTTGCACAGTGACAGCCATAGCATGGCTCTGTTGACTGCCAACTCCATTACTGGCAGTACATTCGTAAGTCCCTTCATCTTGGAAATCCACTTTCCTTATTTTCAAGGTTTTGCCATAGTTAATCATTGTAAACCTGTTAGATGCAAGGTTCCCTCCTTTCTTCTTCCACACAATATCTGGTAAAGGCCTATAAATAATGAATGAAAATTATTCTCATCATCAGTGTTTTAAAGGTTTACTAACTAATGTGATAAGTCTACAAGTAATGACAGATATTTTTAAACAGATGCTTAGTAAAGTATCTACAGATATGGAGACAGAAACTGTGTAAAATAACGAGACAGATATTCCATGAAAAACATGGAAACATAACAGTCTGTTAATGTAAAGAATATTACAGTAAGTAATGAAAAACATAACAGTCTATTAATGTAAAGAATATTAGAGAAAGTAATGAAAAAACATAACAGTCTGTTAATGTAAAGAATATTAGAGAAAGTAACAAAAAACATAACAGTCTGTTAATGTAAAGAATATTAGAGAAAGTAATGAAAAACATAACAGTCTGTTAATGTAAAGAATATTAGAGAAAGTAACAAAAAACATAACAGTCTGTTAATGTAAAGAATATTAGAGAAAGTAATGAAAAAACATAACAGTCTGTTAATGTAAAGAATATTAGAGAAAGTAATGAAAAACATAACAGTCTGTTAATGTAAAGAATATTAGAGAAAGTAACAAAAACATAACAGTCTGTTAACGTAAAGAATATTAAAGAAAGTAATGAAAAACATAATGGTCTGTTAATGTAAAGAATATTAGAGAAAGTGATGAAAAACATAACAGTCTGTTAATGTAAAGAATATTACAGACTACTCATCACTCACGTGCCACCAAAGATGCAACTCAACTCCAGCTTCTGACCTCTCAGTGCTACAACGTTTGGAGGAGAAAGGTACTGTTTAATTGGTGGATGACTCGCTCCATTTGAACCTGAAATAAATAGATAGAGAATATTTAAAAAGACACCACTAGGATATATACTTAGTTTGAAAGAGACCTAGAAAAGAACTTGTATTTAGAGTTTCATAAATAACATAATATTTTGGGACAACAAGGGACCTACTGGTCCATCTCGGCTGTCCAATCCTCTAAACTATACTAAAACTATTAAATAAATAATTAAAAAAAATATCTTAAAACCAGCCCCTATCATTCATATAGTTATCAAGCTTTCTCTTCAACTCACTGCCTCCACAACATCCGAAGGCAACTCATTCCAAAGGCCAACCACCCTGTTTGACAAATGAAACCATCTTAGCTGAAGATGACTCGTACCTTGCCAAGATTTATAGTTGTGTCCCCTAGTCCTACTATTCTCATTGTTAAATATGAAAAAAGATGATGCATAAACACTATCAATACCCTTTAAAATCTTAAACACCTCAATCAGATCTCCCCTAACTCTTCTTTTTTTAAGAGAAAACAACTTGAGAGATTTCAGCCTCTCCTCGTATGATATGCCCTCCATCCCAGGCACCATTTTAGTAACCCTTCTCTGAACCCTTTCCAACAATTCAATGTCTTTCCTTATGGTAAGGAGTCCAAGACTGAACACAATACATCAGATGTGGCCTAAACCAGTGACCTGTACAATGAAAGTATAACCTTGTATTCAATATTTCTGTAGATACAACCTAAAATCTTATTTGCTCTACCACTAGCAACAGTATACTGCTTGGATGGCTTAGGACTTATCAACCACTACACCAAGATCCCTTTCTTTCATAACACTGTTAAGGTTATTCCCATCCAAATCATACTTATAATTCAAATTATGATAACCCACATGCATTTATTATAATTAAAACCCATCTGGCATTTATTAATCCAACTCACTAAATGATCTAAATCCTTTTGTAAATCAGCAGCGTCCCCTTCGCAGTTCAAAACACCCAAAACCTTAATATCATTTGCAAATTGAAGTAATTTATTGGCCATTCCTTCATCCATGTCTCAAAAAGAGCAAAAGTCCTAAGACTGAGTCCTGAAGTACCCCACTTGTGAAATTAATCCAGTTTGATTAAACTCCATATGTAACAACCCTCTGCTTTCTTCCATCCAGCCCTTTTCTCTCAAACTTGCTAACTTATCCCCACACCTACATAAATTATTTTTTTAAAGCCTTTTATGTGCCAACTTGTCAAATGCTTTTTAGAAATCCTGATACACCAAATCTACACCCTTACCCCTCTCAACTACATAAACAGTAACCTTTACAAAGAATGTTAAAAGATTTGTAAGGCAACATTTTCCCTTAGTGAAACAATGTTGACTATCCAATAAAATTCTAAACTTTTTTAAATACTTTAACAGACTTTCCAAAGTTTTTCCCACAACTGTTTGTTTGTTTGTTTTGAA